TGTATTCATATACGGTTACATATATCCAAGTTCCTTTTTATATACAGAGAGTGGGGGTACCAACAAAAACAGGGAAGGGTGGGAAGACCATTTCTGGCTTGTCAGCCGTCGTCAACCAGCCATATCCAACCCCAGATTTGGACAGTCTGGGAATTGAACGGAGATTCTCCGTTCATTGGACTTCAAGCAGTCCAACTCTCTACCATTGGGCTGCAGGACCGTTATCCTCTCGGTTGTGGTCGGCGATATTAACTACGGTAGAAGGGCGTCCACCGATCAGGTTACAGAGCCTGTTCGTCCCGCTGACTATCCCAGTCTCCCTTGTCAGCGTCGGTACTCCCTTCCCCGCCGATTGCTATTTAACTGCCTCTGAGATCTCTGGATTTATCACCGAGACGCAACGAGGCGAGCATTTACCATAACCTAACCGTTGAACACCCTTCTATCACATTCCGCCTTCACGCTTGTATTCTGATTGTATGTCTACCTTAAGAACTCATAGCAAGATCCAGCATTGTTTGAAACTATAAAGGGTCGCTGCACTAACAGCGTATGATGACCGTTAGTTAGGTAGCTTGCGACCTGTTGCCGTACTTACGTATGAAACTCAAAGTGTATCTGAGCCCTTCCCACGCATCGATCCAAAGACCGTATCACAATTAACATAGGAAAAGGGAAAAGCGGGCTTGCGGATGCCAGAGGGCTGTGACGTAACTTCTTCAAGTGGTAGGGCGACGTAGGAGCCAAGATGCCCCTTTAAGCACTACTAGCAGATCCTCAACAGCAGGACGATGCCGACTGGACGGTCATATACGGTCCACCATACCAACCAGAGGCAACGTGAAACCGTCACACCCCCCCTCCCTACCCTACACCGGTTACCGTGCACCAGTAAGTTGACAACAACAGTCGTTTTTTTCGGCTGAAATTCGTAGTGATGTTCTCAACCGTAAATACGCGGCCAGAGCACTAATTCACCCTCAGACAGAAGCCAAGACAATCAACAAACCAAGGCTTTTCGAAGTAGAAAACAGTGCGTGCACTCCAGGATGCCGCAAGCAATCGTCCTAAACACGTTAGATCCTGTACGGCAAATAGAATACGGTGAAGATTGATTGGTAGGAGTGAAGATGGACTTGAAGAGAGGCAGGCGTCAAAGATATTAGGAAAATTGGGCGGAAATTGGGAGGAGTTTGGTCGCGAAAAGAATATACCGGGAGCTTTCAGAAAGAGGCCCCAGGAGGTGTAGGTGGAAACAAATCCAGCAATCATACAACAAAGCACAAATATGGGTGGAAGATGAGTTTTGCGATTCCAGTTTCCGATCCGTTCATGAAAATCGTGCTAGCGGCAGGGGACTGAATGACTCCAGACACTGGATCATATACAAAGGTATTTTTAGAAAATTTAAATAATCCAGAAATCTAGTGGTATCTTTAGAATGAACAAAAACGGCATGTCGACTATGGTAACACCGGGTTTATTAGACATGCTGCTTCACTCGCGACGACACTCAAGACGTCGTTTGCCGGCCATGTGGAGAATGACTCACAATGCACAAGCGGGACGGCCGCCTTCGAAGAATG